ATGGGGGCAAAACTATTTTCCTCCTGCACTGGGGCTCATTAGCAAATGCCTGTGCCGTCCTTGAAAGACATAAAAGCTGCACAGCACAGTGTTTGGATACCTCATCATAAGAAAGAGCAGGGGGCAGCACTGCCCAGGGAGAGCACAGCCTTTGAGTTTTGGTATGAGATGGATTAAACGTCTGCAAATTAATTGATTCTTTTTCTGCAAAGAGAAGCGAGCTAGTTGATAAGTACTTTCTTGGTGGGGGGGGGAGGGGGCGCAAAAGATAGTCCTAATGTCAGGCCTAATTACTTGTTCAAATACGGAACATGAGATTTGCTGTTATTTCCCCACTCGGCGTGTGGCAGAGTCTCTGGACACAGGGTCCATTGCACAGAGGGTGTCCAGAGGTGTATCCAACTCCTCGCCCCCCTGACACTTGTAGTAATGTCAGCTGGCAAAATTAGGTCATCTCTCAGCTCATGTGGGGAACCCTGGCCCTGCTGAAATCAGTGACAAACCTCCTCCGGCCTTCAAGATGGTCAGCATTTTTTTCCCCGTGGTCTTCATGTCAGTCCTTTAGAAATAAACTCAGGGAGAAGCAATGCTGATCCTAGTTTGTCCTTCACTAACCTTTCCTGAACTGGCTGTTTCTTTATTTCCTATTTTTATTCTGTTAGATTTATATCCCACCTTATCCAACAGGCTCAGGTGATACATGTCTGAGGGACCTGGGCCTCTTCAGCCTCCTCAAGAGAAGGCTGAGAGGGCATCTTGTGGCTACCTACCAATTCATTAGGGGGGGAACAGCAAGGGGTTGGAGATGCTCTGCTCACCAGGACACCTCTTGAGGTAACAATGATCACAAACTGACAGACAGCAGATTTAGGCTAGATATCAGGAAAACTTCACGGTAAGGATGGCCAAAATTTGGAATGGGTTTCCAAGGGAGGTGGTGCTCTCCCCTACCTTGGGGGTCTTTAAGAGAAGGCTGGATAGGCATCTGGCCGGGGTCATCCAACCCCAGCGCTCTTTCCTGCCCAGGGCAGGGGATCAGACTCGATGATCTGTTGAGGTCCCTTCCAACCCTAGCATCTATGAATCGATGTCACTTTTCATGGAGGGCTATTATTATTTATCCTAAAAGTTTGAATCACACCCAGTAGACCACTGTTGCCATGTGCAGAAGGGAGAATGAAGGAATTAGTTAACACCTTTACTGTTCTTTCTCATTTGTTCCTGCTACAGAAAAAAAAAGACCAAGGAAATGACTGATGCAGTTACGAATATAATTACATGGTTTATGGATGAGGTCACAGATATCATCTATCCAGCAATAATAGAATATAAGAGGAGAAAAATAACAGAGAGATACGAGAGATGAGGAGGTCAATGCCAAAAAGTGTGTCTGCACAGATAGAAAGATAACACCCAGCAGATCTCCAGGATGTGGGAAGAAAGGGTGTAGAGTAAAACTAACCTCACTGGTTTCTCAACAGTTACTTGGCCTGTCTCCAAGCCTTGGCAGAGTTTTGGGAAGACAATCTTCCTGAGACTGAACCGGCAGCAGTACCTCCTCATCCAGCTAATAATATATCTCATTTGTGCAGGGAGAGTATGTGCATGGGAGCTCAGCTTGAGCATCCCAGGCAGAATTTCCAAGTTGAGCAAATTTCCCCTTAACCAAAATTACTTTCAATACAAATCAACACAAAAAGATGGCCAGTTAGAAACCCATGTCATTAGGGAAGATATTTCTTCTGATGTCACACAAGATCACCCTAAAACAGGCATGCTTAGAAAATTATTTTCACGGATCAATGCCCAGGAAAGAGCACTCAGTTCTGGGGAACAAGTCCAAAGGGAAGGGCAAATGCCACGACAGCTTCAGGTCCCCGAGCTTGCACAACCCACCTCAGGAGGCATCAGAAAGCTTCGTTACCGCGCAGGAGTTCTGGGGCTCAAACCTTCTGCATCCCCCCAGGACATATTAACTGAGCCAAGGGCAGTCCACTCTAGCATAACTCTACCTCAAATCGGCAGACAGCTTGTAAAAAAGCCCTTCTTGTCATCATGCAGAAAAATATTCCCTGAAGAGGCAGCACCACTGCCAAGATACACCATTGAGCCTCAGACCTTGCAGTCACCTACCGGTATTTATGCTGATGCCTTTTTCAAAGACACGTATGATGAACTAATGAACAAATATATCCCTTCCCAAAACTTACTTGCTCAGGACAGCGTGATCTGTGGAAGCGATCCTTCACATTTCAGTACAGAGATGGTTGATTTGGTGTTAGGTAAGCTTTCCGGATGTCAGGCCACAGCTCTGCAGCCTTCTGAAGATCATGGTATCTTCCCTGACATAGATACCTCAATGCCCCAAATTATTCACTCTAGTTTATCTGACCTTCTGCATGAAAGTGCTTCTAAAGTCACAGTTTGTGAAAACATGAAAAGCAACAAGAGTGTGTCAGCAGAAGGGTTAAGTGTTTTGAGAAGGAGACAAATTATTGATCACCAACCTTTAGCAAAAGCACCCCCTTCAGCTCTGTATAAACCTCTAGAGCCTGGGAAAACTGATGAGAAGCTTTTAGAAGATGCTACCAAAAGCACCTCACAGTGCCAAAGTCCTATACCATCTACTCCAGAGGTATGCCACAGATACTTGGAAGATATAATCAGCAAGCTTTTATCTGATATTCTCCCTGCCGCTGCCAGCATATCTTCCCCTAAAGAAAAGAAAATGGAGCTTGCAGAATATGACTTGCTTCACCTGAAGGTAATCAGAAAAGTGGTGGCAAAAATCTCTGAAGATGATGACACTTGTAGCCAGCATACTGAACATCCACATGCCAGAGACGATGCTACGATTCAAACGATTCCTGATTTGGTTTATGACAAGCTTTTGGAGCAGTTTCAGTCTCAAATCAATATGCAGAATTGTTTAAGAAACGGGTGTCTGGTTATTTCCGAAGCTCTTTGTGACTTGGTCTTCCAAGAGATTTCTGGGAGTCTGTTGCAGAGCTCTCTTTCTGGAGAATCACCACTTCACCACCGTGCCGAAGCTGACAATATTGTTGGACATACACTAAGAGATGTTACTGAGCCCCTGGATAACCTAAACAGCTTACCATCAGACATTAGTAAAATAGTTCCTCTTATCATTGAAAAACTAGCAGGAAATCTTTTATCCATGTTTTCTTCCTTCTTTCCCATTGTGGATTTGGATGCAGAAAAGACTTTGTTACTGAAGGATGCAACTAGAAAAATACTACAGGCTTTGCAAGCACTCCTCTCAAAACAGCAGATGAACATGAATGAACATATCAGTGAAGAAGATCTTTTACACACTAAAGACAGCCAGGCGATGGGAGACCTGTTCAATTCAGCTTGCTCAAGCACTGCAGAACCTGCTGATTCTGGCATTTTTTTGGCAGAGACTGTCACGGCGGGGTCCTCGCGGAGGGCCGTGTGCTCCTTAAGATCCC